CCCTTTTAAAGGCATTATTACATCATTGAAGAAAATCAAGATATAGACAAATAGACATTGTTAATTGGCTTAGGTGCTAAGTAGTTAGTAAAATGCCCTCCCTACGGGGTGTACCATCTTAGGTCACTATCCTCGTCATGATTGTCTCCTCCAGGTTTTAGCGCCATTTTGTTAACATGAGGAGCTCACTCGACGGGAGGGGCCTTTTGGCAGCTATCCATTTAGAGTGTAGCCTGGCACTGTTAGTTTCTCAAGGTTAGGTTTCAAGGCTTTTAGTAAATACACATTTTATCAAAGCTATCATTGTAAGTGGGATGCTACAGTGTTTCACACTACAGGTGCATAATATTTCTTGCTGACATGCAAATTCTATATTCTATAGACAAAGCTTTCTTGCAAAACTATGGGGCCTCTTAGAGGTATAGCAAGAGGATTTAAAGGGGCCTTACAGATTTATAGAGGCCTAATAATTCTACAACAGTCCCCCCTTAAAATGTTATTTGCTAAAAGACAAAACTTCATTTGTTAGTATCAGAAGATGTGTTAGCCCAAAGACACAGAAACCCCATGACCGCTGACTTAGTGTTAATGCAAAGTGCAAGTCTATCCCTCTCTTGACCCTAACAGGCTGCAGCACATCCGTCAGTACGGTTCAGGAACACTCTTCACTCCGCTGGTAACCCATAGTGGCTTATCCACTACTTCTCCGTACGGCAGTCTACCCATAAAGACGGACGCTGTCCCTGTACTGTCCCTTCCTGGACTTTCCGCACTTCATCAGCATACGGGAGAGTTTGTAGCGGAATACAGGGTGAGGTGAGATCTTGATCATCGATTGTCAGATGAGTAAGAGTTAGTGTCGCTTGGTCTGTAGTCTTCTGTAAGAATTTTCTAAAGTATGGGAGGACACAACAAACGAGAAGAGCGAGAACAAAAAGGAAAATTAGTAGAGCCATACCAATATGGACTAAAGCTTTCTGCCAAGCTGACATCCAACCAAACCACCTTTCCCAGGGATATGTTACCCCAGAATTCTTTTTCAACTCTTCTGAGAGTTTCTCTAACTTCGCTATGGCCATAGTGACTTTACCATTTGGACCTGTGTTTTCTGGGATATAAGTGCAACAAGTCATGGTGTCAGGTAGTATTTTACATACACCCCCTTTTCAGCTAGAATCATGTCTAAGGCCATTCTGTTCTGGAAGGTCATCTGGGATGTGGCCTGCAACTGCTCGGCCAGGCCCTGGAGGGCATCCCTGGTGTAGTTGACAAAACGCTGTTGGTTGTAATAAATGTAGTTAATCCAATTAAGGTTTTTGTTGGCAGTGACTATGGTAAAAAGTGATTCAAAACCTACAGCTACTTCATCTCTAGCTTTAAATTCATTAGGCACCCCCCTAGGTACCCCAATGGCATCTATGTAAATGTGGGGGTCAAACCTGCCTTTTACTGGGGTTTCACACTTAATCCTAGCTAACGTCTGTGGGGAATCGTGGGTGCCGGGATGATTGTCAGAAATAATGTGGATGGGCATGATAACCTTGGCCAAGGTACACTCCCCCCACCAGTCAGTCTCCAGTCTGGATCTTAACTGCAAGTTCCCACATAGCCAGTAAATGTCTCCTTGTGACCTGGTGTGATGTTGTAACAGACGTATGGGGACAGTTCTGTAAGTGGCACAATAACCTTTAGAAAAATTACCCATGAATTTACCAATCCCGTCATACATGGCATAACAAGTGTAATTACCTCTATAGACTGTGATTCCATCTGGTGGCTTAACATTTTCAACTAAGAGAGGGTATTCTGCCGTCCATGCCATGCAGAGGGACCTATTAAAGTCATATTGGTAGGCAAAAAGGCTTAAGAAGCAATCTTCTATCTCTAAAGGGAGAGTTAGGGGGACGGTGACAAGGTGGGTTCGGGCACCGCCACATACATAACATGCTGTTTTATTATGTTTGTTGGCATTATACCTCATCCATTCTAACCACAAATTAATGTCATTGAATCCAGTTTCAGCGGCCATGGTATCTTCAAAGTGGGGTTAGCGATAGCCATCATATCTTTAAAGGACTGGATATGTGGTTTTAGCGGATTTGGGACCATATGATCAGCCCCTTGCCACTCTGGAGAGTGGTACATATCTCTGAGGTAGAAATGACCTAATTTGTTGTAGGAACCTTTCTTCAAATACATTCCCATTACATATCGGTCTGCATCCTCGGGGCCAGGATGTTCAATATTTAACATTAATTTCATAGGGGTACTTCCTCCAGGCTTTCTTAAAGTCATTCTTTGAAGGAGGGATCTACCCTGATTGTCTATCTTAGATAAAGCACTTTTGGGTTTATAACCCCAGGCAGGCCCAGTATTCCATCCCGCAGCCCCCCAGTAGTTACAGTCATAACCCCATTGTTCATCTACTACACAAACGTAAGGGTCTTTTGCTTGTGGTATATCTTTATAAATGGCTTGAATCTGTGACTTAGGGAATGGGCATTCTACAATATCACAGTAATCAAAGGTGAATGTAGCCACGTGGGTACATGATGAATTATACCAGAAAGTGTACCCACTAGCATCTTTGGTGATGGCCACCTGCTGGGCTTTAAGGAGGCCAACTAAGGAGATAATGTACCAGAGGCACATGGTTGCATAGAGTTAGCTTCTTCTGGGGCAGGTGTCTTCTTGCAATGGGAAGCGTGGATCCAGTTAGGCCTTCCGGCCAATTTGACAGAGGTAGGGGAGATCAGGAGAACTTGGAACGGTCCATCAAATCTTGGTTCCAGGGTGTGTTTTCGCACAAATTTCTTGACCAGAACCCAGTCACCGGGGAGCAGACTGTGGTTGCCCGTATCAGAATCAGGATCTGGAATTGAAGAGAAAACTTGGGCTTGGATTTTGTTTAAAGCATTTGCGAGTTCAGTTACATGATCTACTAAAACATCAGTTTGAAGTTGTAGTTGTTGGGGAAAATAGCAACCTAGCCTAGGTGCAGTCCCAAATAGAATCTCATATGGGGACAGTGAGGTAGTATTTTTGTACAAGAGCATTCATTAGATCCTTTGATAAATGTGCAGGTCCGTGTGCCAATTGTACGACTGCTGGGTACAAATTCTTAGGGAGGCAGAACTTGAGGTTGTTGGAGTACACTCCATCCTTCAGAACTGCCCCTTTCTGTTTCCATTTTTGTATTTCTTCAGGAGCAACTGCAGCCTGTTGTTCCCGTAGGGTTTTTAGATCAGTTGGAAGTGTCTGCAAGGTAAATGTGGGAGTTTCTTCGTTTCCGGACACACTTCTGTCCACTTCCTGTAGTTCTCTTGCAGCTTGTTTTGCAACTTGATCAGCCAGATGGTTGCCCCTTGGTTCATTCGAATCCAACTTCCATGTGCCTTTACCTTCAGAATGGCCACTTCTTCTGGGAGTAGGAGGGCATCCATCAGCTCCTTGATTGTAGAACTGTGCTTGACTGGTGTACCGGCAGTGGTAAGAAATCCTCTTGTTTTCCAAATTAATCCGAAGTCATAAACCACGCCCAGTGCATATCTTGAATCTGTGTAGATATTGGCGCGCTTTTCTTCAGACATCTTGCATGCTGAAGTTAGGGCTTGTAATTCAGCTTCCTGCGCAGACATTGTTGATGGTAGAGATGATGACTTGAAAATTTCATCTGTTGTGGTGACGGCATATCCTGTGTGATATTTTCCTTCTTCATCAGCATACCTTGAGCCGTCCACAAACAGGGTGAGGTCAGGATCTATTAGTGGATCCTCATGCACGGTTGGCAAATGTGTTGTTTCCATTTTCATCTGTTCAAAACAGTTATGGGGCGTTTCTGGATCATAGTCATGCTTTATGACCAGATCTTCAAATTCTTCTTCCAGAAAGTACCGTGGCCAGGCTTTTACATGTTCAGTTGTTGGGTACTTGACAACACCTTTTTCTTGGAGCTGTAGTTCATTCATGGTGGCCCATAGTTTTGCCATGGGCCCGAGCCATGGTAAATCCATAGTAGCTACTCCCCCTCAGGGAGTGGCAGAAGAGTGGACGGATTCAGAACCTGACATCTTTGAAGGGTAACATTGTCAGGTAACAGGAGATGACATTGGAGACGAAGGTGCCTGGCAGGGGTGACATGTTAGAGTTGGACCTGGTTAAGTATGGCAGAAATATCATGAGGTGCCAAAACAGTCAGAGGGTGGCCAAGAACCAGGTCCCCAGTGCGGTTGATGAGTTCCTGAGCGGCAAAAACAGCTCGGAGGCAAGAGGGGGTTCCTCTAGCCACAATGTCTAGATGGCAAGTGAAGAAGCCAATAGGCCGTGGCGGCCGCCAGGTCCATGGGCTTGAGTAAGGACTCCTGTAGCGTGGCCTTGTCTTTCAGACACAAATAATTTGAATGGTTTGGTGTAGTCTGGCAAGCCAAGGGCGGGAGCAGAGGCAATAGCATGTTGGAGAGTGTAGAAGTTGTCATGCGCTTCTGAGGACAGACAGAACGGGTCTGATTTAAGAGCATCGTACAAAGGTTGCATGAGTAGAGAGGCCTCTGGGATCCACGCTCGGCAGTAAGAAATGAGGCCTAGAAAGGCGTGGAGGGATTTAGGAGTTTTTGGAGGCGGAATGGCCCAAACCACTCCGACACGATCACGGGTGAGGTGTCTGGTGCCATGGGACAGGCAATGGCCTAGAAAGATTACTGTGGCCTGGCAAAATCAAAGTTTGACAAGAGATGCCTTACACCCCTGAACTGCAAGATAACAAAGGAGGTCCAGAGAACATTTTTCTGTCGTGGGGATGTCATCTCCAAGTAAAATGGGAAGGGAACAAAGAACTGTAGTGTCTTTTCGTGACAAAAGGTGTATTTAATTGAACCTGGCCGTCTGCAGTGAGGGTGATGGATGCTTGGAGGCGGGATAGGACATCAGCACCCAAGAGGTTAATGGGACATGGACAGGTTACTGCGGGAAATACCATCAACACCAACACAAGAGACATCGGTGTCAGACAGGAACGATGAGTCAGGCAGGTCTTGTTCTCTAAGAACACTGCGGGCTGCACCTGTGTCAACCAGGAAAGTAGTGGGATGACCCTCAACGGGTAGAACTACTGTGGCTAGTGGCCCCCCTTGTTCCCTGTAGACACTGCCATGGCAGGGGCATTAAGCATCAGCGGGTTTGCTCTCCTCTGTATGGGCTGTGTTACTGACTCAAACCCCTTTCTATGTCATTAGCCATAGCTTTTTGCAGTCTGAACATGTCTATCATTATAAATAATGGTTAATAGTAAGTGAAGTAAAGTTCCTATATGTCTTTGGATAAAACATTAACTATTGCGGTACTATCATTTATATTAATTAGACTATAACAATTATACCACCCTGTAACTAAAATGAATAACCAGTAGTGTCTGGGTTAATAAAACATGTCACAAACCCTTCTAATGCTAAACCATCATTTAACGTAAAGGATGTTACTGTAAACATAAGATCTGTAACTAGCAAGATTCGATTAAGTAAAGATACAATGTTTAAAATAACTTGCATTATTTGGCTATTTCCCTTGTTGCAAGATTAATCTGGATAATCAGCTGTTATGCTCTTATATTCGTGTCCAACAGATCTCATTTGTAGATCACACCACAGTTGCAAATGACATTTTAGCAACCTTCTTTTTTTTTTTTAAATATCACGGACACATTTCTGATACAGGGAAACAAATGGCATGATTGTTTTAGTAATTATAATGTTTCTGTTCATAATATGTAGAGTGTAAGGAAAACAACATGTCTCTAAATAGGACGAGCGTAATAGGGGTAGGCCTCATGATGGAGGCAGCCATGACAGGGGCGGGGAAGGAAATGACAGCAAGGGAGGAAGTGAGAGGAGTGACGTCCATGATAGGTGTGGGAAAGGAAGACAGGAGGTGTGGGCATGGTAAGGGCGGAAGTGACGTCACTTTAGAAGCAACCGTGACTGTAGATAGGTCACGGGACTGGCAGGGTCAACCTCCTTCTGTACTAGGCGCCATCTTTAGGGTGGTGGCTGATGCACTTTCAACAATACACTATATTAAAACTAATAAAATAAGTCAGAGAAGCAACATTCCGTTCTGCAAAATGACATACTAAACTATGAACAGACCTGGCAGGTTAAATAAGACAGTTGAAAACATTATGCATTCAACAACCCATAAAGCTGTCCGTAGAAACATGTACTTTAAAATAACATAAAGGAAAATAAACTCACGGAATTCAACCAATTTCCCTTATCATCCTCCAACCATTAATCACTTTCCTCTTCACATACTAACTTAACTCCGCATATTCCCTCTATCCACATTGCATAGTTTTGCAACAAATCACGCTTGCCTTTACACTTAACACGTCCAAATATTCCTCTATTCTTGTATCAGATTCACTTACCTAACCTCCAACACTGAGCTACATTCTTGTGTCTCCCCCACAATCCTCACTACTTTATCACAAAACACAATTATATATATATATATATATATATATAGCACCGTGGAATCTGCCGGCGCCATGCAAACGGCAATAATAATAATATTATTACACAATTATAACACCATAACCTTTGAATTAGAATATTTTCCAGCAAAAATCCCCTCTCTAACTCTTATCAGTAGCTCCGAAATGCAGGCATGTGACTCCTCCCCCATAGGCAAGCGGGGAGGAGGGGGGGGAGAAAGTGAGACAGTGCAAAAAAGGGGAGAGAGAGAGACTGCAGGCATAAAGGTTAACCATGTGAGTGCTGTAAAGTAACAAGACAGAAGGACAGAGACTTATACGTTTGGAAACCAGAAATCTTTGACGGGAGAAACGGACTGGAGGTGCAGGGAGCTGCAGAGAGAGGATGAGGGTGACGAGATCTGTAGGACTGATGGGGGGAGAATAGGGATCCATCAGCATTCAGGACTGGGCAAACAGGGGTGGTGGTAGGGTGGGGACCAGGGGTGGGGACCATGGTCAGCTACATTTCGGTCATTGCTGACGCGATGTTGGGAGTGGTCACCTCCTGGGCGCCATCATAGGGCGCTGGCTGGGAGGACTTCCCAGTAACACAATTATTATAATACACAAACAATCTTAAACCTTTGTGATCAATTTCTTCCTCAACCTATCCCTTTTGCTGAATAGCTCTTGCTACTCGGTACCAGGCTTCTGCTGTACGAACCAAATCGTGGTCCGACAGCTTCCCTTTCTTCTCTGTCAGTAACTTACGCCAGCTCTCTGGCTACAATCTGCCGCACGGAGGTACGGTAATTCCACATACTTTAGCAATCTTCCTCACTTTCTTAACCATCTCTTCTCCTTCTCTGTCTTCCACTAGATCACATGCTAACCAACCCTTACTGGGTTTATCTAACTTCTGTCCCATCCTCCCTATACAAGGCGTCCCAGATATAGAGAGAGAAAGGAACAGAACGTCTACCGTGCTCGACTGCTACTTTAAGAGCAAGCTCTTTAAGTACGTCTTCCCAAAACGTAGACTAGTCACTGATTCCGCCTACCCGTGGTAGCCGCGGATTGGAGCGTGGCGAGAAGTGTGTGACCAATCACTTCTCTCAACAGAGAAAGAGAAATAGGAGGGGAAAGTGTAAATAGTACAGTGAGTAAGATAAAAGTAAACACAGGAATCTGTGTGACAGACAATTAAGACAATAACATTTCAGTGTAAATACAGTGCATGCATCACAGTTCAAATAAGTTCAACAGTTTTATCCCTTGCCTTTACTCGTGTGTCCGATGAGGCTAGCTAAGCAGTCAAAGCGACACTATGGGGAACCCCCAGGAAGCAGTGAGTCTACACCACCCTCCACAGATTCCCCCTACTCTTTTTCCTTACAGCCACAGCTACGTGGCTCCTAAAAGAGTTAAACAGGCAATAGAGGACCCCAGGAAAACTTCCACAGGTCCACCCCCCTTTTTCCTTACTACCACAGCCACGTGGTACCTAAAAGGAGTAAACAGGCACTCACACTCCCCGGGTACTAAGTTAAACACAAACCAATACAAACACACCCAGGCAACAGATAGTCAACATGCAGGTAAATTAAGTATCATTAACAATACAAGGAGTCTGGGCAAGTTATTACCTGACTTTGATGTCCTCTCGGCAGCAGTCGCAGACACTGGGACAGGTCAATCACAGGGGCAGGAACATACCGGCTAGGTGCTGCAGCAACCTCTACCGTGTATTCAGAGGTGATCAGGCTCTTTTCCTTCCCCCAGGATTCATCCCCCCAGCATCTTCTTGGACAGCTGCCCAGGCAGGACATAGCCCAGAGCCCCACGTTTTGGGCGCCAACTGTAGTAGATAATTTACTGCAAACCAATTAGTTTGAATGACTATCTGTTCCTGTCCAAATTAAAGATAATAAAGTTGCGTGCACGCAGAAGTAAATTCACACTGAGACACAGAGTTCAGGTTAATGAAAGAACTTCGGAGAAGTTTAATGGCTTCTGTTTAAAAAGCAGGCTCGCAGGCCCTTTTAAAGGCATTATTACATCATTGAAGAAAATCAAGATATAGACAAATAGACATTGTTAATTGGCTTAGGTGCTAAGTAGTTAGTAAAATGCCCTCCCTACGGGGTGTACCATCTTAGGTCACTATCCTCGTCATGATTGTCTCCTCCAGGTTTTTAGCGCCATTTTGTTAACATGAGGAGCTCACTCGACGGGAGGGGCCTTTTGGCAGCTATCCATTTAGAGTGTAGCCTGGCACTGTTAGTTTCTCAAGGTTAGGTTTCAAGGCTTTTAGTAAATACACATTTTATCAAAGCTATCATTGTAAGTGGGATGCTACAGTGTTTCACACACTACAGGTGCATAATATTTCTTGCTGACATGCAAATTCTATGTTCTATAGACAAAGCTTTCTTGCAAAACTATGGGGCCTCTTAGAGGTATAGCAAGAGGATTTAAAGGGGCCTTACAGATTTATAGAGGCCTAATAATTCTACAACACTGGGTTTAGCTAGGCAGTCTATTGCTGGGTTTATCTAGGCAGTCTATTGCTGGGTTTAGCTAGGCAGTCTGTTGCTGGGTTTAGCCAGGCAGTCTATTGCTGGGTTTAGCCAGGCAGTCTATTGCTGGGTTTAGCTAGGCAGTCTATTGCTGGGTTTAGCTAGGCAGTCTATTGCCGGGTTTAGCTAGGCAGTCTATTGCTGGGTTTAGCCAGGCAGTCTATTGCTGGGTTTAGCCAGGCAGTCTATTGCTGGGTTTAGCCAGGCAGTCTATTGCTGGGTTTAGCCAGGCAGTCTATTGCTGGGTTTAGCCAGGCAGTCTATTGCTGGGTTTAGCTAGGCAGTCTATTGCTGGGTTTAGCTAGGCAGTCTATTGCTGGGTTTAGCTAGGCAGTCTATTGCTGGGTTTAGTTAGGCAGTCTATTGCTGGGTTTAGCTAGGCAGTCTATTGCTGGGTTTAGCTAGGCAGTCTATTGCTGGGTTTAGCTAGGCAGTCTATTGCTGTGTCTATCCAGGCAGTCTATTGCTGGGTTTATCTAGGCAGTCTGTTGCTGGGTTTAGCAAGGCAGTCTGTTGCTGGGTTTAGCTAGGCAGTCTATTGCTGGGTTTAGCTAGGCAGTCTGTTGCTGGGCTTAGCTAGGCAGTCTATTGCTGGGTTTAGCCAGGCAGTCTGTTGCTGGGTTTAGCCAGGCAGTCTGTTGCTGGGTTTAGCCAGGCAGTCTATTGCTGGGTTTAGCTAGGCAGTCTATTGCTGGGTTTAGCTAGGCAGTCTATTGCTGGGTTTAGCTAGGCAGTCTGTTGCTGGGTTTAGCCAGGCAGTCTATTGCTGGGTTTAGCTAGGCAGTCTATTGCTGGGTTTAGCTAGGCAGTTTATTGCTGGGTTTAGCTAGGCAGTCTATTGCTGGATTTAGCTAGGCAGTCTATTGCTGGGTTTAGCTAGGCAGTCTATTGCTGGGTTTAGCTAGGCAGTCTATTGCTGTGTTTAGCTAGGCAGTCTATTGCTGTGTTTAGCTAGGCAGTCTATTGCTGGGTTTATCTAGGCAGTCTATTGCTGGGTTTAGCTAGGCAGTCTATTGCTGTGTTTAGCTAGGCAGTCTATTGCTGTGTTTAGCTAGGCAGTCTATTGCTGGGTTTAGCTAGGCAGTCTATTGCTGGGTTTATCCAGGCAGTCTATTGCTGGGTTTAGCTAGGCAGTCTATTGCTGGGTGTAACGGACCGTTTTGCACACA